TGTAATGTGATGTGATGTGATGTAATGTAATGTAATGTAATGTAATGTAATGTGATGTGATGTGATGCGATGTGATGTGATGTAATGTAATGTAATGTAATGTAATGTAATGTAATGTAATGTAATGTAATGTAATGTAATGTAATGTAATGTAATGTAATGTAATGTAGTTAGTATGTATGTATGTATGTATGTATGTATGTATGTATGTATGTACGTATGTATGTATGTATGTATGTATGTATGTATTGTTTGCACTGAGACAGGAACCATATGTTGCTTGTGCGGCCACTCTGAGTAGCAGTGCTCGGTCTGCAGTCCCTTGACCCGCGAGGTTTCTGTGGGAACTTCCGGCGGCACATGGACCGCCAGGAGCGGACTTGCGATGGTGGGGGGGAACAGCATACTCCCCCTTCAGGGTGTAAGGTTTGGGAAGTTAAGGGCTTAGGAACCCCGAAACCTTTGAACCAAATCCGATCCCAAGCCCACGACGCTTCCACTCCAAGGCCCAAGCCTGAAATCGTCATGACGTCCAAGGAGGGACCCCAGCTTGCACACTTGCTGGATCCTGCCTGCGCCTTGAGACTCTTGTGTGGTCTCTGTGTGCGGGACGTAGTGAGTCCTGCAGATATCTGAGAACTGGAGTGGGGCTTTTGTGGTTTGGGACCATCGGGTCAGCCTGGACCCGACCTGTCATTGAGTCATTCCCGAAAATCCCAGGATCGGGGCCGACTGCCGCTTCGTGAGGTGGGTCGCTGCGAGCAGCTCCAGGCGCGGGGCTGGCATAGCTCGGATGACTTCAAGGTTGGCAAGGTTTGCGTCGGCCGAAATCGAACACTTCGAACACGTACGGGAATACGAATGGGTGCAGGTGTGAAGGGTTGGAGCAAGCTCAAGCAGAGCAGCAGCGCCAAGGCAGTTCTCAGGGTTTATAGGGTTGCAGCAATGATCAGCCATCTCTTTCGGTCTATGACTTGTCTCAACTGCCAGGAGCTTGCTCAGAAATACGGCGGCGACAGCCACAGCGAGGCACGGAAAAGGTTTGTCTTCGGGGTGTGAGGCGGCTGAAAACCTGCAATTGCAGGTGCTCTCGCTGTATCTGCTGAGCATGCAGGCGAACGTGCGCAGCGAGAGACTCGAGAGGGTCTTGAGCCATAAGAACTCTGATTGTCTGCAAGTTGTCTGAGGGCACCGCATGGTCATGTCGGGCTTGTAGGCAGTGACTGCAATGACTCATCCAAGGGCCCAGGTGCAGGTGCAGTCACGATGACCTCACCCAGCTTTGCTAAACTGGCATCCAGCACCAGAAGCGAAGCGCAGGCAAGAAAAGGTGACAGAGCTCCGAGGGTTCCAGGACCTAGCAGTACATCAGAACCATTCCAGCAGCACCACTGCCGCTCCCAAGATCACCCCAGAAATGTCCAAAATGCAGATGCAGAGCGCACGTTGACGGGAGCATGCGTCACCGCCCCAAAACACGCGGAAGTGTAGCAGCAGCACGATTGCGGATTTACGCGATTTGAAGGCCAAAATGAGCACGGGCCTGTGCCGGGAGCACGATTTCCGTCCTAAAACATCAAACATGCACGACACTATGGGGGGAAGACGATGTACAGTGTGGAAGAGCGCTAAAGTGCTGGAACTTGCTAGAGTACGCTCTCAGTGGAAAATGTGCAAGCCAGAGAGCTGTCGTGCGGTTGGCATTGGAGCAGAGGTGCCCTGTGTTGCATGCATTGGTACTGCGGACGCCATCATGGTTGGAGCAGGGATTCAGTCACGGGTGCATTGGTAACCCGGACGGCATGGAGTCGGGATGCTTCGGTCACGGCTGCATGGAAGTGTGATAAAGTGTTATGTGATATCCTCTGGCGAGGGGGGATGCGCTAGTCGTAAATGTGCTGGAAACCCGCGAGAATGAGCCGGGCAAGCGAGCGCAAAGGAGCCCGTTCTCCGTCACAAAACCCAGGTTCATCTTCGAACATGCTCTGAGAATTTCTCGTGTTATGTTCAAGCATGTTACACTTGCTCTGATGATCCGTTGTTGAAGCCATTAGATTGTGCGTAGTGCAAGTTTTCCAGAGGTGCTGGCTGCTCTTCTACTATTTAGGACCCCACGCTAGCATAGTTGTATGTCTTTCCGTAAGGTGAGACGGTGCGCCATCTGGAGATGGTGCCAGCCTCGGAAGGCAAGAGGTGCTCAAGAATTTCCATTTTGTGCATATTTGTCGAAGACAGAATTGCTCTGCCTTCATGACATGCCCCTCATATCTCGGGCTGCAGGTCAGTATGCCTCACGGTTCTTGTCGCAGTCGCAGTAGCACTTGATTACCGTCAGGTGCTGTCATGCAGAGATGTGGAGATGGGCGAGTTGTGCAGGGCTGCATTGATTAGCAACAATGTGCCCAGGTCACCTGTCAGCTTGCCTCAAACGACTGGATGTTTTGATTAGACGCACGTGCACCGCTGCCCAGGCTTGTACCTGCTTAAAGACGTGGGTGTGGTGCTGAGCGCATGCATGTGCAAGTCAGAGCGTGACAGCTGTGGACGAGCGATTGTTCGCATGTATGTCTGTATGTATGACGTATACAGTACGTATGTATGTATGTGTGTATGTATGTAGGCAGGTCTGTAGGTATGTAGGCATGTACGTATATAGGTATGTTTGTATGTAGGTATGAATGTACGTATACAGTGTGTACGTATGTTCGCATGTACCTATACTTATGTACGTGCTCTGCATGCAGTATACTGGCATGTAGGCAAGAACACAGAAGAGTTCAAAGACATAGAAGTTCATAGAAGCCTAAGGTTCAGCGGTATGTGGAAGCAGAGGGCAGTGCCTTATGGATGACGTGTCGCCCTTGGTGCCAATGGATCTCAAGATTCTACTAGGGTTGTTTAGGGCTCAGGGCTGGTGGTGGTTCGACTTGCTCAAACCTAATCATCTGTCGGTCTGTTCGCTAGGCCGCTCATGATGCAGCTCACCGCGCTGGCACGGCGGGTCGCCATGCAACTAGACCAGGTTCGAGATGGGCGCCATGCCGAGAAGAGCTTATGGCACGGAGCATCCCTGACCGAGAGGCCAAGCGCTCCGAAAGAGCAGAAAGACCTGACCAAGAGAACAATGCCTACCTGAAAAAGCCCCTGGGCTTCTCCTTGGGTTGGATCCACGTTCGGTCGTGTGACAGTGCTGACTCCAGCCGATCGATCCGCTTTGTGCAGCTTTTCAGGTTGGTGGCTTTGTACCGAGAGTTCCTGAAGGTGCTGAACAAGGCACCGCAACGACCGCCACCTGCGTCCTCTGCACTGGTGTCTTCCGTCTTGGCGACCTGCTACACAGGAGCGAACAAAGCGAGCAGGTCATGTTTGGATCTGCCAGACTCCCACGCTTCTGCCCAGCGCACAGGCCCACTGCACCTCCTAAGGCAAGAACTGAGGCCTCTACGTGAGCGTGACCGCGGATTCATGTGTATACATATAACGAATATCTATATATATATATATGTGTGCGTGTGTGTAGATGTATATATAAAAATATATACACACACACGGGCAGACATATCTATCTATCTATCTATCTATCTATCTATCTACTTGTCTATTTAGCTGTCTATCTAACTATTATCTAACTATCTGTCTATGTCTATCCATCTCTGTCTACATGCAAGTAGTGCATGCTTTGTGTGTGTACATACAGGTTGGTGTTCTACAAGATGTCGTCCTACAGCCTGAGGTAGTGAGCTCCTGCGGGCGTACTTCAAGCTCGGGCGTTGTCCGGCATGTTTTGAGTGGCCGCGCGTCCGTTTCTCGGCCAACGCACACGATTACGAGTCTGACGGCTCTCGTTTGCCAGGCAGGTGTCGCAATGCTCATTTCTCTTGTCCACCGTGACGAATTCGATGCAGAAGGTGTGGTGGGATGTGTGAATGCTAAACCTACGGGTCAGGATCCATCCAACTAGGCTCTACCAGCCTAAACCCTCAAACTCTACACCCAGAGCCCTAAACCCTAAATCCTGAGACTCTACACCTATGGTCCGCAACCCGAAGCCCTAAGCTCTGAGACTGTACATCCATAGCCCACAACCCTAATCCCCAAAACCCATAACACCCTGAAGCCCTGAAGCCTTAACCCCCATATCCTAAACACCCGTGACATGTGCCCAGAGTCGACAGGATGGCTTCAATCCGACCGACCTGCCCAAGGCCATTTGCGACGCTGGGCGGCAGCAAGTCCCCCGAGACCTCCCCAAGAAGCATACTGATATACTATATAAAAAGTATATGGGGGCCTTGAGCAGTTAGCAATGTTAGACGATAAAAATGCTAAACATGTGCGGGCCTTGCTAATTGGAATAGGGTTGAGCGGTCTATTGTATGCATTTATTGGGCACTGCAATGGAATACCTTTACATACCCACGCGCACGCACACGCACACGCACACGCGCACGCACACGCACACACGCACACGCGCACGCACACGCACACGCACACGCACACGCACACGCACACGCACACGCACACGCACACGCACACGCACGCACACGCACACACACNNCACACCCACACCCACACCCATACCCATACCCACACGCACACGCACACGCACACGCACACGCACACGCACACGCACACGCACACGCACGTGTGCGGGCACACACACAAACACAAACGTACGTGTATGCACATACAGAGCACCCTCTCTGCATTTATATGCGTATGCAATCTGTCTCTATGTACTTTAATTTTTAGTTTCAAAGACTCGCATGTATAATGTCTATGCTTAGTGTGTATATATGAGCGACGGCTTTTGCTTGCGTCCATACTATGCTCTTGTGAAACGAGATAGCTCCTTGCGCTATGTTGTTGGTCCGAACTCGCTCTAAGAGGGGAACGAGATAGGAGCACCGCCTAAATCGAGATCAGGCTCATTTATGATCAGAGCTGTAGCGATACTTGAACGAGATCCAGTTTTTCTGCCAGTACTTAATATGATGAAACGATATAGGGCCTATATAGGGGTACCGCTTCGAGATACCGCAAGTAGCCTAAGCCTTAAAAAAACGCAGCAGCTCATATATATGTATATATACATATATAGGAATACATGTATGCATGCATACACGCATGCCACGCAAAAAAGCATCAACATGCATATACACGTTTGTCTTTGGATAGAATGCTACCAAACATAATCTGTGTAGCTGTGTATATAGCAGTGGTGAGGCAGAGTACGGTACTTGAGTCAGTAAGAACTGGAACGAACACAGGCAAACACTGTGCATGCATGGATGGATGGACGGATCCATGGGATGGATGTCTGTAGAAATGTAGGTATGTGCGTATATGCATGCATGCTGGCACGCATGTACGTACGTATGTATGTACGTCCGTACTTATGTACGTATGCATGGCCTGCATGTCGCATGCATTCATGCACGCATGCATATATGTATGTACGTATGTATGTATGTATGTATGTATGTATGTACGTATGTATCTTTGTATCGTAACGTAATGCAATGTAATGCAAAGGAAGGCAACGTAATGCAATGTAATACCGGGATGTATTGTAGCAGAATGTCAGGTCACTTAGTGTAAGCAACGAAGTAAGTATGTAAGTACATAAGTAAGGAAGTAAACAAAGAAAGTACGCACTTAAGAAAGTATGTATGTCATGTATGTAGGCAGGTAAGGTAGGTAGGCGCGCAGTCAGGCAGGCAGGCAGGTAGGTTATTTATGTTATGTATGATGTACTTTATGTAACCTATGTATGCTATGTATGCATGCATGCATGCATGCATGCATGTACGTATGCGTGTACGTGTTTGTGTGTATGCATGTTTGCATGTATGTACGTATGTGCATGAGCACGTATGTGCATGTATGTACAGATGTGTAGACGTATGTACATGTACATCCAGGTCTATGTGTATATGTACATGTATATGCTTATGTTTAGGTTTCTGCATGTGTATGTGTATGTTTATGTTTATGCGCATGTGCGTGTGTACATGTACATGCACATGTTCGCTTGCTTGTATACAGCATGTATGCAGGATGTACGACCCAACAGAACACCACGGCGGGTCATTTTACAAAATAGACATGCAACGTGTAACAAAGCAGCTTGGCATGTCTCATGCCATGGCCCAGTCTTCGGGCCGGTGACATTCCCTAAGCCCTGACCCTATACTAAGCCCACCAAAAGCCCTAAGCCCCAAAGCCCAGGTGACAGAAACCTGAGGCCCCAATAACAGGCTCCTCCTGATAAGGAGTTCCATACTGTTGTGCAGTTGGAAAAGGGCCCTTAAAACAAAAACCCAGGTGACATTCTACTTCTTCTGGGGCAAGTATCTGGCCGGAGGCTCAGCGATCATGAGACGGATCCTTCTTGCTAGATATCTCCAGTGTTCAGCCAAAATACATCTGTACATATGTGTGATATAATTTATATGTATATATATATATATGTTTTATATATGTATATATATATATATACATGATGGCGATTCTGGCCTTCGCAGCCCCAGGTCTTCGATCACAACTTGCAAGGAGCGGACGAGAAGCTGACCTGGGCCTTTAACAACTGCCCGGAGAAGCCGGGGCCCCGACCCATCAAAGGCGCCCACCCTTCTTCTTTTGGGGTGGTTTAGGGTTTAGGGTTTTGGCATGGTTTTGGGTTTTTGTGGCTTCGGGGTGGCTGAGATTGGGGGATGGGTTGAGGGTTCGGGGTTCTGAGTCGTCAGCTCAGGGCTGAGAGGTTACCAAGCCCCTGAGCCTAAACCTTAAACAAAATCCCAAATTCTGAACCCAACACCCGATACCCTGCATACCCTATACCCCCAACCCTAAATCCTATACCCAAACCCTCAACTCTAAACCCTAAACCCAAGGAAGGCCCCACTTCGAGACTCTCCCGCTGAGGGCCTTGGCCAACCGCCGACGGATTCTGTGCTTCGCGCCTGTGTTGGACGAACCTGCGGGGTCTAGTTCAGGGCTTAGGTATTAGGGTTGGCATATCATACTTGTTCGTATTAGTCTTATTACGAGTGTTGGTATTATTACAGTTAATTTAGCATCACGACAGCTGCTTTTTTACATCAGTGTTAGATAGTGCATATTATATCTTCATATATGATAGTCCGTGTAGTCTATAGTATGTGGTCATGTGGTATGTCGGTGGCTACTTGGAGGTTCCGGGTTCAAACTAGCTTTAAATGTTCTGCTTGTAACCTCCAAGCAATGAAACTGTAGTTATTCTGATCATGATTACTACTACTACTACTACTACTACTACTACTACTACTACTGCTACTACTACTGCTACTACTACTACTACTACTACTACTACTACTACTCTTGCTACTATTCGGATCACTATTGCTATTCATGTTCCGTGCGTGGCAGGTTGTACCTGGTGCCATGCAAGCTGAGACTCGGGGTCCTGCCGACACAGGCACGCCAGGTTAGGGTTTAGGGTTTAGGGTTTAGGGTTTAGGGTTTAGGGATCCCTGCGACTCAGAATAGAACCCCATGTAGCCTTGTAGAACCCCGCAGTGGCAGGAACTCCTGCACAAGTACGACTTGGACGTGTTCTTCGATGTGGTTCGTGCCATCAAAGAGGCTCGCGACGCCGTGTGGGATGTAAAAAGCTTGGGGCTCCAGGGTTTAGGATGGTTTTGTGGCTGAGGTTTTAGGGGGATTTAGGGGATTTCTTGTCCTTGGCAGTGAGCCCTCGAGCAGTCCCGGCTGCGCTTGATGCAGGGCAACGTGCAGCTCTTCACTCAGCGGATGCAAGAGCTTAGCGCGGCGTGAGCCCCACTATTTTCGAGTGTGGCTTTCATCGGCGGTGGAAGCCTAGTTTGTACATAGGAGCATCTGTGGAAATCATGGCGAAAAGGATCTCATCAAGATGGGCACATACTTGCTCATGATGCGGCTGAAGTTTATGGTGCGCTCCTCAATTCCCTTCTCATTGTCCGTCGCCCGCACATCGCCCTCACTTTCAAGCTGACGCTGAGATACTGCAGTTGTTGAAAAGAGTTTTATTACCCAACCTACAGACGCGACCTTCACAGCTTCTTCGACTTGCATCTCATAGCTAGCGGACGCTGACATGCGCTGAATCTGATCGGCCGAGTCGTCCAAGCACAGGTCCTCCGCAACCTCACCAAAGGAATCTTCTTGGAAGTTCGCGGGAGGCGCGGTCGGGCCAAAACGCCTTTTTTTGCAGGTTGAGTTTGCCTTGTGATGTCTTCCCTTCTCGTTTTGAGGGGTTCCTTTAAAGCCTGAGCCCAGGTTGACGGACAAGAGTGACAAGCTGGACTTCAAACCGCCACCCTCCCGGCTTCTGCTAGTCAAGAGTGATTGGTTCTGGTTTGCAGCTCTGCGGTGTCGAGCAGATGTTGGAGCAACATCCTTTTGCTTGGCGGAGCGTTCGGGTGGATTCTGAACCTGCACTGTGGAGCTTCGGTTTCGGCGACCAAACGCACACCTTCCGGCCGGAAGAACCGGTGATCGTTTCAGGGCACGACCAGAGCTACGGGGGAACTGCAACATCGAGTGGATCCGCATTAACCCACAGTAAACTTGTAGCAACCGTATGGTAACCGTATAGTAACCTTATGGTAGCCTTGTTGCTTCCTTACAGTAACCGTGCAGTGGTCGGAATCTCTGGAGGGGTATTAATTTTAACTTGTCCTAGAGCCCAGAGAGACCTCAAGTCTGTACTAGAGTGGTCCTGGTGTAGCCTCCTTGGATTGGTTTTTGAGTGGTGCTTCGCTGTTCATCTGAAGGGTTATCCTTATTGTCATCATCACGACCATGATGATCATTGCTGCTATCCTGACTATGACATATTATGACCATCTTGTGGTTTTATGAATCTCACCAGAATGGGGATAGTAGCATTGTCGATATCATCATCAGTTTTTATAATCATAGCTATTGCGAGTTATTGCCGTTGACATGCTGTACGTCCGGTACTTACAGCACTTCGTACGCCAGCTTTGCCATAGTTCACACGGATGGGCTTGCGGCTTGCGGTGCTCAGGTTTGAGCACGTCTTCGGCTGGCAAGACGGGTGTGATGCGGACGAAACCGCCCGCACCTCTTACTCTGCAATGTGGTCCTGGCTCCCCTGCCTCTTGATTTCCATGACGGGGCCCCGTCTCTGTGTCAGGCCGCCTCCCTTGCAACGCTGATCTACAGTGGGGCGGTCAAGGGGCCCGAGGCTCGGCTGTGAGCTGCAGAGGCTTGGCTCACAAAGCGGCTGCTCTAGGCCCCTATATGGCCCGGCAAACCCGGCGAAGCAAGCACGACAATACGCCTTGCCACGCTCACGCACTTCGGTGTGTCGGACAGATCGTCGACCGAGGTACTTGAGCCACGACCGCCGGAAGGTCGTGTTTGCAAAGGACCGTCGGAGGGTGCTGCTGCCGTGTACACCGTCAACAGTTGGCAGGATGCCCCGTTCCCGCCACCCTCGAAGTGGCGAGTGTGAGCACTTGCCCGTGCTGCTGAAAAAGACGAAAGTCCCGCATGCCACCCTAAGGTTTGGTTTCGGGAGGGGGCTTGTTGTGTTTTGGGTCGCCGCCTGGCATGGCATCTGTCAGTCCGATTTCATGAGTCGCAAAGCACAGTTAGGCCACATGCGCGCATCCCAAAACCCCTGAACCCGAAACCCAAACATCCCGAAGCCCTTAATCCAAGACCCCCGACCCCTGCGCCCAAACCCTAAACCCTAAACCCCAACATTGGCCCAACTGCCTTTCTGGCCAAGCTTAACAGCTCTTCAGTAACTTGTAAAAATCCTTGACACTGATACTTATAGTAACCCTTATGGAAATCCCAGTTCAAAGCTTTTAAGATTCGCGTCGCGTGTTTCTCGTGGGAGCTTCGCCTCCTCCAGCCATGGCTCTGGCAAAGGCATGGCCCAGGCCCTCCAACAGCTGGGCACTTGGGGATGTGGGGTTTGCGGGTTAGGGGGTTTAGAAGTCAGGAGTTAAGGATACGGCATAACATGGTGTTTAGGCGTCTGCCGGGGCTGTGAGGGCTCAACGAGCAAAGGTGACCGACCCCCCAGTTCATGTTTTCAAGAGGAAGTGCAACGTGCGCTTGCTTGCGAGGTGGATGTGACCTGGCAGGCCAGAAAGGGGTGCCGGGGTGGGCCTCGTCTCGTGGCAGTGGTTACTCTTCTGGTTATTCTTCCCGCTGCTGCTGCTGCTGCTGCTGCTGTTGCTGCTGTTGCTTTGCCGTTGCTGTCGCTGTTGCTGCTGTCGTTGTTCTCGTTGTTCTTGTTGCTGCAGCTGCTGCTGCTGCTGCTGCTGCCAGAAAGAACCCCAAGGTACTGGATCCGCGCGCTCGTACATAGGTTTTTCGCTTTCGCTTTCGATGGCACGGAGTCCGCGTTCGGGCGCAGCCTATCAACATGCACTAATTAAATTGCGGTGAGGTGAAACATCGAAGGAGGGAGACAGGGTCATGAAAGTTGGAAAGGACTTCGAAAGAATCCTCTCGACTGGTTTTCGGTGCAACCTTCCGGATAGCAGCGAGACCGGGGCATTCTACATCAGCAGTGACCAACAGAGCAGGAACCCCGCGCTGCCACAGATGAAGAACCCCACGCACAAGGTCGGCAAATAGTCGCAGCTTACACAGATCGACTTCAAGAGACCGAAAGTGCTTGACAGGTGTCGGCACCCGAAGGGATGCCAGTAGCCCCGTCAAACAGAACCCCGTAACCTCCGAAGCTCCAGCAGCAATCCACGTCTGAAAGTCAAGAGAGGAGGGCCGCTGGAAGCATTGTTCATGAGAAATCCATTGGATGATCCTATGGGCAGGCTGGCCTAGCACTACCCGCCGTTGAGAGATGAATCTCAAAGTTGCCCCGTCGGCAACGAGGCAGTTTGGCAAAATCACAGCCTCAAGAGAAAGCCAGGGAAGCAGGATGGCACCATCACGAAAGGTCGAGTGTACCCGAGAGTGAACACCAACCTCTGGCACCAGCCACTCAGCAAAGTCTACCTCACAGATGGCGTCGGCAGCACGCCTGTGCCATGTTGCCCACTGAACCGAAATATCTTCGTTATCAGCGAGCTCGGCCGCAACTGCATGACGCCATGCTTGAGCTGTAGCTCGAAGGCGAGACTGCTGCAAGCAGACTTTTGAAAAGGCAGTGCGAAGACCCTGCCACAGCGAGCCATAGTCACGAAAACCGAGCTCGTCACCGAAAACCTCGGCAAGTGCATCAAGTACACTTGGGTCAGCTCTCTCCTGCTCTGGGATGAAACCCGTTCCATCCCATAGTTGAGCAGGACCGCTAGCAAAAGTGGCTGGGAGCATGACATCCCGACCATCCCGGAACGCACGACTACCCCTACCAGGGGCTGTCACACAGCACTGTCCACCCTGCACCAGTGCTGCAAGACACTCACGCGAGTGTTCAAGGTGGTTGCTTAAGTGAAAAGTAGAAGCAAATTGCTTTAAACAAACCTGACATTGACTGCCTTGCGCGAATCTTCGCGACTCGCGAATGCGCCCGTGGCACTTAAAGGCATGGTGGCTCCAACAGCGCAAATCCTGGAATCGCTTGCCGCACGGCGCGCAAATCTGTCCGCCGTCATCGGGCTGCAGAACAGACCGGTCGGCAGAGGCACCACAAGCGAGCAGACTGCGCAACAGTAGGCCGTGAAAGTGCTGAACCTCCGATGACCACTGCTCGCAAAGAATCGAAACTTGCTGTGCCTTGTGGAGCCATCTCTTCCAAATAGCAGGCGGCCCCGTCAGGACCTCTAACAGAGCAGGCCAAGCTTGAAGGGAGGGCTGCGTTTGCCCAGCAACATCGAGGCAGTTGGCCAGCCAAGCAATCGACTCACGGACAAGACTGCACCACCCAGCCTCGTGGTGCAAGATGGCCCAAAACTCAGGCGGCGCTACTCGGACAACGACGGCAAGATGCCGGAGGCGTTCGAGGTGCAAAAGCACCCCAGCTGAAGGCAGCCGGGCAACAGAAAGAATCTTGCCGGAGCCAAGATGACACGAGGACTCGAAGTTGTAAGTAGGGCGAAGCATCTGTCGCGCCATTGCGACAAGCACTCCCTGAAACTTATCAACAACGCCCTGATCACGAATGGTCCAAGCACCGACACCAAAAAGGAGCCGGGAAAGCACAAGAGACTGGAAAAGGATGGATTTTTCTCTGTGTGTGACCGAAGGAGCCCCAAAGATGAGCTTTCTATGCTTGCGAAAGGCCTGCCAGGCCTGGCCAACCCGGACCTTGAGCTCGGAGTCAAGCGAGCCCGACCAGTGCAGAAGCCCACCAAGGTGCTTGTACTTCGGCACGATGCGTAGACGAGCACTAGGCCACAGCACAGAAGGTACAGACACTGAAGGGTCGGAGTCACGGAACAGCTCAGAGCGTGCCCGCCTAGACCCCCGACCGACAAAAGACAACAGAGCTTCTGATTTACCCGGGTCCAGGTTCGGGTGCAACAAAGCCGTCAGGCACTCATCAAGGAGTGCAGCTGCAGCTGTCTTGGTAGCAGCGAGAAAACCATCAGGTGAGTCTGCCGCAAGGAGAAGCGCAAGGTCATCCATCCAACTGACGTCGATTGGGGAAAGAGTGCTCGCCTGGGGACCTTGCGGCTGCAGCTCCCTAAGCCAAGACTCGGCCCAAGGGAGCCAAACCTGCAAGCCAGCAGCAACGATAGCAGTTCTGACCTTTCGAAGGACAGCCCCGAAAAGAAATGAAAAGACGACATCTGCGAGCGAGTCGCCAGGCCGGGTGCCTGATTCAACAACAGCAAGGCCCTCACCAATAGTGAGCCAGCTGTCAGACTGGAACTCCCGGATGACTGCTGCTGCCCATGGAGAAGCACCAGCAGGCTCAAGCAGCGACCCCTGGCTGACATACTCTCTCAGGAGCTGCAAGTGGTCAGACGACAACCCAAAGGCATGCATCACAGACGCAAGATGCGAATCGCTGAGATTCCCACCGTGCACGAGCGGTCTCGCGACTCGGTGAAAAGCTTCGCGTAGATCGAGGAATATGATGGCGGTGTTTCGGCCCCGCTGAAGATGACCCTGCTGGAAAGCCCTCGCGGCTTGTGCTGCTAGGACAACAGGAAACCCTTTGCGCCCACCGACTTGCAAGGGCGTCGCTGAGGCATCGAACCACTTACTGCACGTGCGTCTAAACGCACCATGGATACTCTTACCGATTGTGCTGGATATGAGTATCCCGCGGTAGCTCGTACACTCCTCAAGCGCACCTTTGGCCTTCCACAAGTGTCTCACTGTACCGCCTTTGAATTGTAGCGGCTCCTGTAATCGAAAGGCAATTTTGAGCAGTATCGGGTAGAGAGCTGTGGCAAGAGGCGCAGCGTGGTGATGTAGAATGTCTGGCGGGGTCCTGTCATTGCCAGCCGCTCTCCCGGCCTGTGCAGCCCTGAGTGCACGTTCGAGTTCGCACTTGGTGGGCAGATCAGCGCGGCTGACCTCAAAGACCTCAAGATCCTGTTGACTCTGCCGCGTAAGGCACCTGTCAATCAAGTCCTCCGGGGAGATCGGACCTCCGTGCTCAACAGAGCTAAAGTGACGCAGCCAGCGATCGTTCGCCTCCTTGGGAGTAGAGGCGAAAGTGCCATCTTCGAGTGCGAGGGCAGGCAAAGGCGTAACACCTCTCTGTTTGCGCCGAGGAGGCCCAAGAAGAGGTCTGAGGCGACGAATGACATCCTTTGTGGGCAGAGCGGCGGCCTGCGCAGCAATCTCGGAGAGACATGCCCCTCTGTCCTGACGAAGAGATTTTCGAAAGACGGGCCGGACCTTTCGAAGCTCGGTTACAGCATGTCTGAGCTGCGCAACGCTCGACAGCAACCCGGAGAGACCTGAGATCCACCATCTCCCAAGCGGCTGTGAAACACGCCAGGCACCAAAGGCCCTCGCGAGATCCCACGATCGTATCAAACCACTCGCTTGGTGAGCTTTGCGCCGCAACCATGAACGCTGCTGACGTAGCGCCCAGGTGGTTTCCGAAAAGAAAGGCCTCCGACGCACGGTGCGTTGAGCAGGGAAGTGCCTGACAAGCTCGCCTAGCAAGTGGGTAGAAAGAGCATGGTAGTGACTATGGGCATCCGCAGCCCAAGGAATGGCGGGAAACCCATCAAAAATGGCTTGAAGCACAGTCTCGGAGGCTGGGTCGCACGCTTTCTGCAGATCAAAGGCCCTCGGATTTGTTTTGAAAGTGAGCCGCTCATAAAGACGGACATCAATCTGCAACCGAACGGCATAATGGTCAAGACCAGCTTGCCCGAAATCAACCGTATGGAGAACAGCAGAACCGCCCGATGGCACCCACCATGTCGTTGGGACCAAAATGAAGTCAATCCTAGAGACAGACGACCCCCCTGGTGCGATCCATGTATGACTGTCCCCGGAGTGGCATTCAGGGTACGTGGAGGGAGCCCACAACTCCAAACCGTTCACTAGCCTCCAAAATGCGGATGGCGGCGCATGATCCCGCTCCCAGACAAGGGAGCCGACCCTGTTGGCGACCGGGTCACATAGACGAGAATTCAGATCCCCAAGGATAACGACTTTGTCACCGTGTGCCGTTGCAACTAACAGGTCGACTGTGGATTTCCACCAGCTCTCTCTGTCAGCATGCGCCGCGGTGGGCGCATGGCAAGTGACGAAGAGGATCCGCAGTGTTCCTCGAGTGTAGCGAACCAGGAGCAATCTTGGCGTCCAGTGCAAAACGCGAAAATTGTCGGCCTCAAAATAGAGCGGTTGCCCCTTACTCCATCCGAAGGGGATCGTCCTCGAAAACCAGAGTTCAACCCCCAAGCACCCCTTGGAGTCCCTAGCCGAAAGAAACCTTATGTGGCTAGCAGACAAGACTGTGGAGGTCTGTTTTGCACGGGTTTCCTGCAACCCTGCGACAGCGCAGCCTATCCCATCGAGCTGTGCTCGGACAAAGGGCACCCGGTTAGGCTGCTGACTACTGTCATCCTCACAGAGTGACCGTACATTCACCGTGACAAGGAGAGCCTGCAACCTCAGGAAGGAATCATCCGGCGACGACCTCTGGTCGGCTCCAAGCTGAGCACCGAAGTAATCATTGGGGCTGAGTGAAGGGGCCGTAAGA